CACAGCGTTTTCGGCATACTTTATTGTTTTACTACTATAAAAATACTTGCATTCAAGCAAGGCGAAAATTATGTGATATGTACGGAGAAGATGTGTTCATCGACCGCCAATGCCAAAATTGGTTTGCAAAATTGCGTTCCGGCAATTTCGAACTTGAGGACGCACCACGTCATTAAAGGTCTCTTAAAGCTAATGTAATTAAAATAAAGTTGTTGGTTGAAGCAAATCGTCGCATGTTTAAATTTGTCTAACGCGACCGTTCACGATATATTGTACAATTAAAAAAAAACTCTTACATCGTAAGAAGAGCTATTTCCTGTTTTTAGGAATCTGGACTACACTAAACCCTTAAATAAACTCATTTTAGGATATACTCGATTTAAATTAAACTAAATTATTCGCTTAAGCAGGAATGTCGATATTCATATTATATAAAAATTCTAGGACAGCAGCGGCAATCAGCTTAATTGCCTTTATATAAATATAATATATATACTCATATGCTCCAAATATGCTCTTATTCATTTCAATGAATGCCTGTGTTTAAATCAATTAAGATTTCCCTTCCAACCCGGATATTCGATAATTTATTTTAAAAGTTAAGCAAAAGTGAATTAAAGCAAACTATGCTGAGGCCAATACAGTAAATACAAATTAAAAATTACTCCATAAGTACATGCATATGTATGACTGTGTATAAATTGATTATGTAAATATGTTATTGCGGCCGGATATAACTTTGTGCATACATAATTGATAGGGAAATTGATAAAACCATACTTGTGTTCCTTCTAGCAATACAACATACAATTATAAATACGCATATGTAAATATATGCATGCGCATGTATGTATATGTATATGTATATGTGCAAAAACACGCATCTTCGCTCAACCTGAAAACCCACATTCTGAAGGCTCTACTTCTATTGTTGTGGTATGCGGTATTTATTGCACATACGAATTGTGAGATTGTTATTGCTGTTGTTGTTGTTGTTGTATACACAGATGAATGTTTAATAATAAGTAGTGATTAAGTTGTTGTAAATAAAATATAATGCACACACGAGGAGTAAGAGCTTAGTAAGGGTTTAATCATATGCATGCTTACATGTATTCATACATCATACATCATACACACACATATATTCCTACATATATACGGATGACGCGTGAATAAGCTATAAAAACGATTTAAGTAGGAGTGTGCATAATGTCACATAAGCGCGAGTTTGTTTTTAGCTCATGCATGATTTTTGTGAAGTAAAGAGATTGTCAACGCGAAACGGTTGCGGTAGTGTGTGTAGTGGGCGGTTAACAGAAAACGGAATACACAACAATATACTAAGCAGTATTTGCTAGCAAGAAAAGCCATTAACTTCGAATCGCAGCTCTAATACCCCACACAAATAAAACAGTTTTCATACATGGACTCGCCTTTGATCGGTCAATTTGTATGGCAGCTACATGCTTTAGTGGTTCGATTTGAGAAATTTTTAAGGAAATTTTAATGTTGTCTTCGACAATAATTTACGCCTAATTGTGTGAAAATATCTCGTTAAATAATAAAGTTTTCCACACAAGGACTTGATTATAATCGATTAGTTTGTATGGCAGTTATATGTCATAGGGGTCCGACCTGAAAATTTTTTCGGATATTGTGCGGTTGCTTATTATTGAATTATTGTCCAATTAATACCAAATGTTGTGAATACATCTTTTCAAATAAAAAAGTTTTCCCCAGAAGAACTTAATTTTGATCGTTTAAATTGTATGGCAACTTTTTGTTATAGTTGTCCGATATCGGTGGTTTTTTGGGGAGAAAAGGGCGTGTACAAGATCGATATCTCAAAAACTAGGGACTAGTTCGCATATACACAGACAGATGGACATGGCTTAATTGACCCAGCTCCAATTCCCTATAGATACGATGTTAACAACTTCGTTTCAAACTTAATATATCCTGTTCAGGGTATAAAAATATACATATGTAGAGTATGCTAATTATACTTGTAATAAGAGAACAATGTGCACTTTAGACGGCTGCTCAATTAATATATTCGTCATATAACTGGAGTAAAGATGTAGATGTGGGGGCTTATGTAAATGCAATTACATTGATGAGAATATTTGTGTATATAGCGATCTTACTTAAGCCCTTACTAATATCACTACTCCTCCCCTAACACCAGTCAAACAATCAATGAGCGCATTAGTTGCAGGCAAGCATCAAGCAACTTAGCAGTATCGACAGGCACCCAAATCATGATAAAGTAATTTAATGAAGTCATTTCCATATTGTCAGCCAGCCTAATTCATGCAAACATGTTTTGTTAGGTATGTAAGTGTGAAGGTGTAATGTTTGTACATCGACCTATAATGCTCATACATTTGCACTCATAAATTCAATAAGGATACAAATAAATTGCTGGTATTTACATTAGCATCTATTTACATATTTGTGCATAAGTAAGTATTTATTGTGCATAAATGGCTTGTGTGCATTAAATCTGTGCGGTGGTATTAAACACGGAAATACTCTGCGTATAAGTAACCTAAAATCGAAGATGATAGCTGCCGCTATTTTGACGCAGGCTCTCTTATAAAAAATAAAATAAAAATAAAAAAAATAAATAAAAAAAAATGGAAATTTCGATTGCTATAATACTCTTCACATGTAAAAAAGTTTCCATACAAGAACTGGTTTGTGATCGGTCAGTTTGTATGACAGCTATAAGCTACAGTGCCTTGAACAGAAAAATTTGTTCATAGATGGTAATGTTGTATTGGACAATAATCCATGCTACATTTCGTGAAGATATTTTGTCAAGTAAAAAGTTTTTCGTACAAGGATTTGATTTTCATCGATAAGTTTGTATGGCAGCAGCTTATGGCATAGTGGTATGATAACAGCGGTTTCGACAAAAGAGCAGCTTTTTGGGGAGAAAAGGACTTGAGCAAAATTTCAGATCGATATCTCAAAAACTGACGGACAAGTTCGGATATAGACTGTCAGAGAACATACATATTTATATCTGTTTGAACAACTGATATAGTTTGCTCGATTCGTTACCTTCTAAATTTTGGCTAATATAAGCACTAATATTGAATAGGAAGTCGACGTTTGCCTTGATATATTTTTAACTCTGTTTAGAACAAATTTTACTGTCATTGCTTGTTCATTACAGTCCAGGTAAAACCTTGTTTAAAATCTATGCTATTTACGCTATTTACGCAGAAAATAGGAAAAAGTAAACTAATCGACAGTTTTTCACATTTTTCAAACGAATCTGAAGGAACAGCCAAAAATAAACAAACTAAAGGCTACTAAATACAAAAACATTTAGTGAACACTGTAATGAGGACTGCATAATACAGTATATAAAAGTGAGGCATGTAACTGCGTATATTTTGTGTACATGTACAGATGTATACACCAATAAAGCTTGCTTAATCATTTGTGAACACTTAAGCGCTCATACAAGTATATACCTCATTTCCTTAGAATTCGGTTTTGTTTTGTTGTGTTAAATATTTGCATTGGATTGTTTTATGTTTTTTTCTTTTGCATCTAAAACAAAGCAAAAACGATAAAAACAACAAGAGAATAAAAAGTAAAAGGAAAATGTACTAAAAAACATAAGTAAACAACACTACAGAATAAATTTCCAAGCAATAAGTAAACTTGTGAGTGTGATATATGTGACTATGTGTGTTTAATATGTAGAAATCTATGTGTATTTAGCATATATTTTGTTTGGAATAGGTATTGGTAATGGCGTGGAGTAGTCTAGTGTAGAACAGCAGAGTTGCAGTTTGAATTGAATGAATGTGTGGTAAGTATGATTGAGTATGAGCCACACAATTGAGTTGAGTGGAAATTCCATAACCCGATTTTGTGTTAAAGCGAGGGTATTGAAACAAAGAAAGATCCAAAATAAAACAGAGTAAACAAGTTTTGTGACGTTGCTATTTTTAGCTTCGTTTGTTAACGAAATAATCGAGAGAATAATAGGAAAAGAAGTACAGAGCAAAAATAAAAGCAAATGCTCTTAGTGCAGCAACCATAAGCAAGAAAACAAAAAAAAAAAAGAAACATAAAAAATTGTGTCGACTTCGGCTGCACCGAAACTATACCCTTCACAAATACAAAAAATTCCTTACAAGAACTTGATTTTGATCGGTCAGTTTAAATGGCAGCTATATTTTGTGGTGGCTTTATCTGAACAATTTCTTCGAAGATTGCGTTATTATCTTAAACAATAAACCGTGCCAAATTTCGTGAAGATATGTCAACAAATGAAAAAGTTTTCCATACAAGCACTTTATTCCGATCGTTCTGAATCGTTTGGCAGCTATATGCTATAGTTACTCGAGATCGGCGGTTCTGACAAATGAGTAGCTTCTTTGGGAGAAAAGGATGTGTGATCGATATCTCAAAACTGAGGGACTTGTTCGGGTATATATAGACAGAAAACTTGTCCTACGTTTCCTAATGGTTATTACAAGCTTCGTAGTAAACTTAACATAGACTGTTCAGGGTATAAAAAGTCAAACTATAGTTTATTATTTGAAAAAAAGCAAGAAAAAATAATTTTGAAAAGAAAAGAAATAAAAAAGTGACATCACTATTAAAGAGCTATTTTGACCCTCAAACGGGTCAGTTAATAAGTCAGTGTTCTGCTAAGCTTTTTTGAGTTGACAGATTGTGAGAAGATTCAAACACATACATATGTATTGTATATACTAACGAATTAACTAAATTGCTGACTTTGACGTAAATATCAAGTTGAATGATATCACAAATTATATGTATGTGTGTATATATATGTCAATAATGGCTGTGAGTTTATGGTGTTGTTGCATGCAGGAGATATAATAATATTCATAATTCATTGGTGGAGAATTGACTCACTCACTGGGCACTGGGGTATTAATATGTATGGGTTACTACGGGGCACTAGGGGAGAGGGCACATTTATATGTTCATAAAAAACTTACCACCTGTATAAATCTTGTGCACTCGCAGCTAAACTCAAGTTGCCCAGCAACGGTGGTCGTTCTTTCAGATGATGATGATTCAACATATCCGTAGATGACGTCAATCTGCAAGTAAATAGCGCCAAATATTTTATTGTGTATCTATCGACTCATTAATAAGTAATGCATGGCTTTTACTTACCTCAATTGTGGTGGTTTAATGCCATGCTGATCCAACGCTTTCTCCAATTGTCGCACACGCAAACGTGACATATCCAATTCATGCTTAACTTTCCACAGATGTGTATCACAAATGGGATCATTGCAGCGATGTTTTTTCAGTATTTCCGTTGCCTCAAAAACTGCACCGCGAAATGTCAACGCTTTACCCATTGACAGTGACAACAACGCACAACAATGACAACCATCTTTTTTGGCTAAACGTTTTCGCACATACTTAAAATAGATGTGTTCGAGCAGCAGTAGTAATGCGGCAAATAGAATACCAGCCATAAGTAGTAGGAAAGCGGATAAGAACTGTTCTAGCGCAAGTGGATCGGAGGATTTATGCTCTTGTTTGCCGGGACGACATGTGCCCGTCATCCAGTAACGACGTAAGCGCTCCAGATCGCCATTGGCGCGAAACTCTAATAGACGTTTGTTGAACATTTGGACGTATTTTGAATTGCGACTAAAGGCGAGACCATAACCTAAAAATATTGAAAAGATTTTTTGGTAAAATTATATGATGTTTTGGATACTTTTCGGCTTTTTTTTGTAATATTTTGTCGGAAATTTCTAAAATATATTGTTGCTCTTGACTAACCTGTCATGGCATACCAGCTGCCGACAGTCATTAAACGACAGTCTTCATCTTGTGCCACCAAATAATCGAGCACAGTGCCATCGTAGATGAACGAGTCGAGATTACCATTGAGAACGGCGGCTACGCCTTCAGCGACGCTAGTTTTGTTGTATCTGTAAATTATAAAAAAAAAAATTTAACATTAGCTTAAATATGTATTATTTAAATGATATATATGCGCCTCCATGACTCTGATTACTTACTGTCTCATGTAGTGATGCATATCCTTAAAATATTTGTGTATAGTTGAGTCGGTGTGGCTGTATGGTATTGTACCGAACTTAAATGAGGGTTTATGCGAGTAGGGATGTACTAAGCGGCTGTCGTTCAGACCGCTGAATTCATGAAATTCCTCTCTATTGGGTATAACAAGAAAAAAAATATATATATTGTATTTGAGAATATTTATTAATACAGTAACAATATATAAGACTTTTTTGTAGAAAGAAACAAAACTTACCGCGTTATCATGAAGGCAGCCAAGTTAGCAGTGTAGATGGCCAAAAAGACTACAGCGAATAGAGCCCACACGTTCGTCATGAATCGTGAGGTGAAACCGCGCGGTGAGTCTACATGTACAGCAGCCTGAAAGAGCACCGCCCACACAAGCCAATAGGTACGACATAGCGAGAAACGATATGGCGTTACACTAGTATTTTGTAAATACAGTTTCATATTATAACCGCTTGGTGAAAGCCATTCGAAGAGGAAGATCATAAATGTGGCAGCATGTATCGCCACAATACCGACCTATTACAATTTTCAGAGAAAATAAAGAAAATATTTTCGGGTCAAAATTACAAGATAATTCTCGGAGCATCAAAAACTTACCAGCATCCAAGAGGCGGTATCGAATGGTTCTAGAAAAGCTGTTGGTGATATAATACCCGTACGCTTAGCCACTACTATCGCAATACCAGTTTCCATGAATGGCTCACTGAAGTCCACCACAGCTTCGCGTTCGGTATTGATCATCAGCGATGTCAATACCATGTCGGTTTTACGATTTACCAAATCCGCAATCAGCCCATTCCATTTACCATTCTCAAGTGTACCCCATTTACCATCTTCGACCCGCACCAATTCGTATGTGAAACCCAATTCTTCGGCAAACTTTTCCAGTAGATCGATGCAAAAGCCACTACAACACTGATAGAACGATTCATTGCGATGCGCTTGCCCGACATCGATGTCAGCGGCCATCTCGTGATCGGCCGCGACCCGACAAAGGACGCCGCGATCCATTAGACATTTGCCACTGATTGGGTCGGCGGGTGAGAGATTGATATAGGGTGCCTCCTCGAGGAATGTTATCTTTAAATGGAATTTTTCGGGTACACCCTGTGGTGGAGCATGCGAGTTACCCGGCCAGGCAATGTCACGTATATCAAGCTTTTGCGTCTCCCATGACTTCCAGACGCCAATCTAATCAGTGGAGAGTAGGAAAGTGGAAAGCAATAGTAAGAGCAAAGAAGTGCACAGGAATATAGAGAGGGATAGTCATGTATGGGAAGGAAATACGAAAAGATGAAAAATCGGGTGAGAAATTTTTAGCAAATAAAATGGAATGCAATAAAAGTAGGATACACTAAATCGAATGGCCAGATAAGTAAACGGAATAAGGTTGAATACAAAAATAAAAATAAAGAAGAGTGGAAACTTTTGTGGTGCAAGTAAATCAAGTGAAAATTTATACCACTTACCTCTTCCCAAACGAGATTCTTATTGTTTGCTCCAGGACGCAAATTCATGATTTTCAATTCAGCAGATTTGAGATCGCCATCGGCAGTGAATTCTATATTGGGTTTATTCAGATCACCCTCAATGGATACGTTGCGCAAATAACGGAAGAAGCTGTTCGAAAATAATAAAATAATTAATAATGTTTGAAAACAGTTTTGCTAAAGCTGTGCCCTTACATTTCACCGTTATCCCAACGTCCACGTCCCTCATCCTCACACGAAAGTGATTGTGTTGTGAGACGTCGCCCCCGATTTGCCGGATCTGTGAGGTATGCTTCCACGCCGAATGCGTAAATTTTAATCGCATTCGATATTTCATTCATCAGTGCTGCACTACTCGTATCGAAGTGTACACCCAACATACCAATGGGAAATTGTGGATGTGCATCCTTCTTCTCGATAACCGATTGACTGACGACCCACACATAATTTTCGCCAGTTAACTTCATTTCTTCAGCAGCTCTAAGAATAGTAACCGCTTCGCTTTGTGTGGCATAGAGGAGCATCACTCTAGCCTCGCTATTCACTAATTCCATCAAGTCGCTGGTGCGCGTTACCACAATCGAATTGAGTATCGTGAATTTGAAATGGTCTTGCATTTCGGCGACACGCTCCCTTACAGCCTGTACAAAATCATCGTGCCCGGCTATCTGAGAGGTGACAACCGAAAATTGATGCCATTTGTAACGCTCTAGAATGCTCAACATAGCAGCACTTTGATGTTCTATACTTGGAGCTAACTGAAGTTGAAGTGTCGATTGAGAGGCGCGTCTCTCTAGACCCGAGTTGTCGGCATTCCATGAGATTACCGGTATGCCAAGATAGCCGGCAAGTTGTAGAAAATATTGAGCGGAGGCAGTGCTATGACCGAATTGTTCATTATTCATCATATATAGTATGGCAGAGACATTCGCTTGTAAGAACTCTTTACAGAGTGTACTCAATATGGCTATAATATTTTTTTAATTGTTTGGAAGAAAAGAGAGAAATTTCGAAAAAAATCTTAGTTAATGTGAAATTAAGACCTTTCGAAAGAAATATATTGTTATACATATGTAATTTTTATCATGATTTTTAATTTATACATAAGTATATACTAACATCAGTTTATTTAATACTTTTAGATACAAAAGATATAACAAATTTATCGCAATTTATTAACAGCATTTTTATGAGTAGAATTTTCATACTTTGGCAAGTATGATTTCAAGTCTTGATTACCGATTTTCAAAGTAAATCAAATTAGCAATTGTTCACCTCATTTTTGGGTCAATCTGTTACCCCATTTAGAAAATATGGTTTCGCTATCCGAAATATTGAATGGAGCATGGGTTATTTTTTTAACACCACAGTGGTTATAAATTTTATCATCAATATACCATATAAGTATGGCACTAAACAAAATAGAAGTTTTTTGTTTTATGAATTTTTTCAACAGTTTCACTAATTTCACGTGGCTGATTCCAAATCTAACCTCAGTTTCTTTTTCAGTTTTAGTGATACAGGTACTTCTGGAAATATATATATTCGCCTTACTTGAATTAATTTTTAGGGGAAAAAATTACTAAATTTCATAAATAATCCGCTATGTCTATATTAAGATGACCTTGGTTAAATAATCCGAATAGTTTTGGTGACTATACAAGTATGTTTAGAGAATGCTCTTTAAATGTGTCTGTATCTATAAAAAAAGCCTATTTGGTATGGAGACAAAAAAAATATGTAGAACGTAACTGCCTGAAGTGCGTCGATCTTAAAATTGTAAATTTTCTTTTGGGTCAACAATGAGGATATACCAAATACCCCTGTTACATATGCTTATGGGATAGCCAAGCCAAGACAGAACACTGGACTAAAAAAGTTTGACCTTTGAGAGTAAATTTAGTACGAATGTGATTAATGCCACTCTAGTAGCTAGAGACCGCATTATATTACTTCCTCTTCATAAAAAGTCAGCTCTGATAAAAGTTTGTAAAAGCTCTAAACATGGATGGCGAATATTTTCAATATATCAGTAAAATATTTCCAAAATTGAGTTCAGAAAAAAATAAAGCTGGTACTTTTGATTTCTTAGAAAATTTAGGCGACTTATTCGACGAGCAAGGAATTTTCGCACTATGATGTCTGATTACTGCTGGAACATTCAAAACAAGACTGATCTTTCTATTCGTACAAGAAAATCGCATAAAAGAAAGCTTTTTTCATGTTAAGAAAGATCAATATATTCTTTAATTCTAAAATTGTAGTATTTTTGTCTTAAAATGTAATATGTTCATATTTCGAAAACTAGAACTGCTATAGAAAAACTGAATACAGATTTGGAATCAGCGTGGCAAAATTATACAAATTCTGTTAAGAAACTTAATAGAACAAAAGTGCTGTTCTTCACTGTGGGCTGTCAGAGGATTCGAAGTATCTTATATAACAATAAAGTAAATTAAATTTAAAGTACAAATATAAAGAGTGTTGCATACTCCACATCTCATATTTTATCAAATTTTAATCGATTACTCTTTTTTGCTACAATAACGTTATTTAAATATGCGAAACGTACCTATAGGTAATTTTTTTCTATCCTTGAAACATATTAACGCCATCTGTCGGTAATACTGAAATTTATTCGTCATCATAATAACACCCGGAAAGAATTTCTAAAATTGTATGTATGATATGATTTAGAGAAAAACGTTGTAGTTATGTCAATTGTCAAAATTAATGGCCGGGACTAGAGTGGTAATTCATAATTATATTCGTGCGATTTGCCAAAATATAACGTAACTATTATTCCATTGTTCTAATATTCCAAAGATGCGTTGGAAAGCTACTGCTCTTATATGTCCTTATATCTTTTCAGTATATGTCATTCATTTGAAGTGTAAACAACAATATTTCACTGAAACACGACGAATTTTGTGCCTGAAAAACTGTTTTTGCGAGGAGTTTTTCTTCATTAATTTTATATATAGAAAACCTCAGCGGAAAGTCATCGTATTTTGATAGAATCATGGTGAATATGGATTGGAAGGCGAAGAACGTCCTAGGCGGAAAATGTTTCGCTGAATCGATTTCAGCATTACGGAGAGTTGTGTCGTTTTCAAGATGATTATATTTGCAATATTTTTGAACAAAAACGCCCTAAAGTTTTATCTAGTCAAGAGGCACAAATCTCGAACTTTTTTCGCGAATCAAGAACAAATTGCAATTGGTATTTTTAGTATTCATTTTTAATCACCAGCGAAACCTGATAATGCAAAGCTGAAGAAAACAAGCAAGAAGTGTTTGAACGAAATGTTTTGCGCAGAATTTTTAGAGCTACGAGTATTTGTAATGATGGCTTATGGAAAAAGCGGTATAACCACGAGCATTCCGATATTGTAATAACAATTAAATTAAACACGCAACGAACAGATGCAGAAATAACAGAAGCAGAAGTACACCACAGCTGGACTAATGGTGTGGCCCAGGACGCTGAAGTGCTGGAACTACGATGCTGGACAGAAATAATTTGCGAGTTAAATTGCAGTAAGCGAAGACTGGGTTGTGGAGTTGATGATGATGATGAACTAACAAAACTGAAATTTTTTTCCTATAAAATGGCGGCTACTCAAAAATAAAGGTAAACTTTTTCATTAATTTTTTCATTTGCAAATTTGAAATGCAAATTTTTTGTTGGTTCATTTTATAGGGAGAATGATATCAAATATCAATAAATAATGACGGAAGTAGTTTCGAGAAAATCTCTTTTAATGTCTCTTTACTGGTAAGACTAAATCGGTCAACTCATGACACTAAAACGGCTACAATTTTGAAAATAAATCAAATTTGAAAAATTCTTTTAAGGATTGTTTTTTGAATAACTAAATTAACCAAATGTGATTTCTGTTTTTTAATTTCTAAACTATAATATCCTCTTAAATATTTAAAAAATATTACATAATCACTTTATATAGAAATATAAACATACAAACATATGTACTTACTTAATACCCATATGTTTAATATCAAAATATTTACATGATAAAATAACAGTTTTCATATAGTAAAAATAACAATTTCGCTTGCAGCGCCAATACATGGAAACCAAGCGAACTATGATAAAACGAACAGCTATACGCTTTTATTGTTTTCGAATTAAAAGCTAAAATCTAGAATGCGAATTTTGTGGCTGGAAGCAAATTTTTTAATATTCCGAGTATTTTTTTTTTTCCTAAATTTAGAATTATTTAACGAACTGAGTTCATTTACGACGGCAACTTCATTGGGCGCTTCAACCACAGCGGAAATGCCACTGATATTCTAGCACTCGGATATTCAGCAGCTAGTTCAGAAATTTAGCGTGGTTTTATGGTAATTAAATTCCACTGAGGCGGTAATAAATTTCGCTGTGATAGCAAGCGTTTCGCTAGACAATAGTTAACGAGGGGAAAATAGGTGCAAGAATTGCGTAACGAAGACAACAGCCGATGTACTGTTGTAGAAGCTGAATGCTAATGACTCAGCACGATAATGAATCCGAATGGGCGGACGAATAGACAAACGATGCCATTGCAACCGAAATTTGTTTGACTTGCTGGTTGCTTAATTACTTTGGATTGTAGTATCGGTTGAGTTGTTTGTTTGTCTGAATATAAGTACATATCTGGGGTAATAATAGTGCATTTACAGAAGTTATGCGTCAAAAGGGAGTTTCAACCTCAACTTGTAAACACTCACGTTCCACTTTTTTTTAATTTTCATGAAGTTTGAACTCGGAAACCTATTGTAAATACATTTTCTATGAATATATCTAGAATGCTTGAACGTCCTATTTTCATTATTGGATTAGAACAAATCTTGAAAGCTCATTTATCACTGGACTACATGTTAATTAATTTACCATCACACAAACATTTAAAACGTGCAGTTAAGTACGCAATATTCTGCACGATTTACCAAGGAGCGCACCCGAAGTGGATAAATTATTTATGTACTATTTGTGTGGTTGTGAGTTTATTGTTTTCGTTGGCTATTTAACTGTCGATTAACCGTGAAACTTATTAAGTAAAACACTAACTTGTTTGGAATATCTACGTTCAAGCGGAGCCAAATTTATTACACCCAGCGCACGTTTGGTTCTATCGACATTTTTTTATTTAGTTAGACGACAGTATACAAAGCTATAAAAACCACTGAACTAATAATGTTTTCTAGGTCAAACATCGTAAAGGATGAATGTTGAGTCAAATAAAGCTTACGTCAACATCAATGAACTTCTGAGAATTAATATTCAGCTGCATTAACTAGATTACAATGCAAGTTAAAGCCCATTCCTCTAGCACCGAAATGGGGCTTTTTATGTTTTAAAAAATCTATGACGATCGTACTTTTATATAATAAGTCCTATAAATTTAAAAATCCACACACGTTTTGGTTATTCTAAAAATAGTTAAAAATTCTGTTTAAGACTTATACCCACTTTTGAATTTGAAAAAATTTATTTAAAACCGATAACATATGTACATACCTATATTTGAAAATATTTTCTGAAAATTTGTTCCGGCAAATAATTTCGGGGATATAAGCGCATTTGCAAGAACTTTAAACGCGTTTTTGTCGAGAGTTAGTTGGCAATCTTTCTCCCAAACGGCTAAACCGATCGACTTGAAATTTTCAGGCGACCTTCTTATATGTATTTTTCGGATAATCATTAAAGGAATTATCTTTTTGATAACAATATCAATTTTAAAAGCCACTCTGAAATGTACAGTTTTTCACAAAAAAAAATATGTTTTTTGGGAAGCCGCTATTTTATTAAAATCAAAGTTTTAACGAATCCTTTGATCATTACCTGCATTTATCAATTTTTGTAATATTTTTTTTTTGGGTTTTTGGATATAAGATAATTTAAAGCAAAAAATCTCACCACCAGAAAAAACTTTTTGGTGGTCCGGTAGAAATCGGCTGTGGGGTCAGGGGATCTAACATTTTTCAAAATGAATCACCGATTATTAGAGCACATTAAATTCTGTAAATGTAAATTTGTTATTTATTTATTGATTAAAATGCCTCTTCAAAAAAAATTTTACAAAGAAAAACGCTTTTTGTTCTGACTTGTAAGTGCATATAATCCCTTAATTTTTCCAATTGTAACATTTTTTACATTACTTGTATTTAAAGCACCGGATCATTGTGCTTTCCAATTCTAGTTTAGATAGCCGAGCCTACGTTACTGAAACGGACGCCGACTTTTAAACGGCCAAGGGCCAAACAGCATTTCTCAATGCTTTCTTCCATTATAACAACAAAAGCACTATCTCTCCGCTTTAGATTTGCTTTCACACTCTCAGATTCAAAGCCGTTACAAATAAGATTCTCCCCGATTTTTTATTTTTTAATGATGATACAAAATCCATTACAACTTGTTCATTGGGTGCAATTTTAGCTGCAAAGCTACCAAACAGTAAAAACACGAAGATATACCGACACACGTTTGAATTCGTACACATCCCTGCAAAAAGTTGGGCGAGTAAGTCATAAAGAGAGTACACCCGGATTTGTATCTATATGGTACAATTGAGAATGAATTGGTCTCCCACACATATCACAAGGATATAATTAAGTATTAGGTAGTTCCAAAGGCCATCTTGCCGCAATCTTAGGGGCTTTAACCGGATATTGTCCAATAGGTATTAATGCGGTAAGGCAACAAATCTTGTGGGACGCAAGTTGTCAAAGTTGTATTGAGGAGGATGAGGTGAACATATCCAGGCACTTTCTCCTAAATTTTTAAGCCTTTGCAAGATTGAGGTTGAAACATCTCGGCAGTCCTACCTTTGGCGAACCAGGGGACATAGCCGAAACTGATAGGCACAAAGCGCTTTGTCGATTTGTGAGGGTTTAATGATCTATTATAAAATTAGATTATACAATATTATTAGAATTATTAGAGCTCCTCATAGCCGATGCTCAAACAAAAGGAAAAAATTCCTTCCACATAAAGAGTTCAAAAATGCTATCAGTAACATGTTTCTTTGCGACTAATCACGCACTCATACCGGACCAGTCACATTTTTTGTAAGGTTATGATTATGTAAAAGCATTTTTTGCAGGGCTGCCATTGTGTACAACCGTATAGACCATGTAGAAAGTTCATTATGCAACACTAAAAACAAATGTTTGTGCATGGTAGGGATTTTAAACTAATTCAACTGGGATTTATTTATCGATTAAGTCTTGACTTCACCAATTGAAGCAGTGAAGTTGAGGGATTGTAAGTGGCTTTATTAACTGTATTTTTTCTAGCAAAAATCAACTGTTAAATTGCGCTCATTAACTGGTGTTGTGGTTGAAAAATTAAGAGCAGAAATAAGAGTAAGAAAATGTAAGCAACGTACGTAATAAAGCGTAAAGAAATCAACTACTTAAAGCATTTTAACACCACATTGGTTGTCAAAGTGACATTAAGGGATGCTACTGTGGACTACTGTGGACTGCTATTATTCTCTGCGCTACATTTTCTTGCATTTCTCTTCTCACTAGTGCCAGCAGGCGGTGTGCCATTAATGCTCTGTATAGTAATTTACTGTCGGCCTTAGAAGCTTTTTTCGCTTATACACCATTTTCCTAAGCTGTGGCAAGGTTAATATTTTAATTAAATAACTACATAGTACGCAGTAATGCCAAGCGTGGCGAGCGCCAGTACTCGTAATGTCATTAACAACCACCGCAGCAGCCACCAACATCACTCAACACGTCCAGTGTGAATTGTAATATTTTCCGTAATTTTTCCACCGTCAGCTGATTAAAATATGTTCAAACAGAATTGTGAGCAAAATATGAAAATGTTTGAAGCAAATTACTGCGCTGCGATGACATAGTGGGGGCATTAAATACATATTTTTGATAGAAATTGTTTTTCAATATTAACCAGGACTTTAGTTGGGTTGATTATTTGTATAATTATAGGAAAATAGTTCTTAAATGGTGCACAGTTTCTAGCAAGAAAACTGTTGAGGGGTTAATATTGTGATGAGATAATATTACAATATAAATAAATTATACGGAAGACGAGGTTTCTGATATAATAGACAGTATCTCCGAAAATCTATTCATACGAGCATTCAGAGGCAAATTAAAAAGATTGGGAACGCAACCAAATATCTATTATATAAAACATAAATATCTTTTATATTTATGCTAGATATTTGGTCGATCATTCTAACACATATTTATGGCGCTCACCGATAAATGAAAAGGTTCTACCAATTTCGGGAACAAATACACTCAAAGACTTGTTTAGGTATTAAATCGATATTATAAGAACCTTTTTTGTGTTGGTAAAAAACTGTGATTAAAGAAATCGTCCAACAGAGAGAATGTAAGCAACTTAAAATTTTACCACGGATGTCTTGAAAACGAATGGTGGCTTTGTAACCTTTACAATTTAACTGCATCTTGAGATTTTATAATTATTATTTATAGAAACATCTTCCTAGGAGTGTGAGCTTTGAAGTTCTATATCATGGATTCCACAGGAAAAAATTTAGAAAAGTGCCACGCATTTTGAAAACGAGTGATTCTTACCAATATATGTATATATATCTATTTCTGGGATTCTTCTTGATGTGGATCCTTGATAATCCAAAATACTTTAATTTCATTGTCATAAAAGGTTTTACGTTCGAGTTTTGTGCCCTTAGGAAGAGCCGTAATTACTTCTTTATTGCTAGGAGCTCATCATATGTAGTTGTTTTTATACCCTGAACAGGTTAAGGTCGTTGTATGAAAAACTTTGTTTGACGAGATATCTTCACGTAATTTTACTATCGCTACCGAATAAACATTTTTTCTTGTTTTTATGTCATTATTATTATTTTGGTAACTTCTGGTATAGGGAA